TATCTGGATGCAGCCTTTATGATGCAAGCTGAAATTGCATCACTTAGCGATGCAATGTCAGACACAATGTACTCAATAGAGTGAGTGACGTCACAGTGACGGGTGAGGGAGGGGTTAGGTGAGCGCATTAAAAAGCATTGGATGCAGCTCAGATTGCTCTGCATCGAGTCTGCAGCCAGACCCCTCTTTACAAAGTTAAGTTTCTTGTGATACACAAGTTGAATGAACAAACTCATGTCATGCAGCTTAAGCCAGAAAAGCCAGCAAACGAAAAGGATGTGGATGGCAACTACAGTACAATTATGCTTACATGCGGCAAAGTATGAATACCTTGTATTGGTGTGCATTTACACAACATGTGCAACAGCAAATTAAATCTTGGCCAGTAGTCAGAAAGGTAATAGTCTTTTCAAAACCCGTTCAATAACACACGTTTACACTACAAACGCAATCTTATCCAAAGTGATTTTTTATTGTACCAAAAATGAAACTGACCTCATTTACTCTCTCTTTAATGTGGTTTTAAAGATTGAGTTTTTCTATTGCTGAACACAAATGAAGATGTTTGAAGAATGCTACTTCCATAGTAGGGAAAAAACTACTATAGAAATCAATAAGTCTCTCTCTCTCTCTCTCTCTCTCTCTCTCTCTTTACATCCATTGCTGTGTCTTTTTGTTGGTCATTTTACATTTCAGGTTACATTTTGCAGAGATTATTGTTTCATGATAGGGTTGTTTGTCCCTTGTTTATCTAGGTCTGCAAAAACTATAATAAAAAATATTCAAAGAATTCAATGGGTCCCAAATGTACTGTAAAAAAAAGAATCAAGAATCATTGGTGCATAAAAATTCAATAAGTGGGCGAAAAGTCTGCATTGACTGTAGTCTATCCAGATATCAATCATAATACATACATTTATACAAACTTGTAAAAAAAAAAAAAAAGACTGCAGTGATTGCAAAAAAAAAAAAGCACCTACTTTAAAAAAGTATGCAATTTGGGTCCAGAAGTAACATCTCATGCAACAGATGCATCACTTATATGGACAGTAAAATTGTTATAAATCTGTCCTGTATTTCATATAAAAAGGCACCATTTACACCCTTTTGGTATTAAAGCGACAGTTCACCCAAAAATAACAATTCTGTAATCATTTACTCAACCTTCACTTGTTCAAAAACTTATTTGAGCTTTTTCTTCTGTTAAACACAACAGACATTTTGAAAAATGCAGGTTGCTGGGACTTTTTTCAAAAAAAAAAAAAAAAAAAAAACTGAAACAAATTTGTAACTGTGTTTGTTACATTCAAGTACTTTTTGGCTAAAAATGTAAGAAATCACAGAGACCCGTTTCTCGGTGAAACATTATTTATAAGCATACTGTTTAATAGTACCAAAAACAGAAAAGGTTTATATTTATAGAAAATAATGTTGCCTAATTATGACTACAAATTTTTAAATTTAACATACCTGCTTTACAAAAATGATACCAACATTTATTATTATTATTATTATTATTATAGATTTTAATTATTATCTTTACAAAAAAAAAAAAAAAAACATTTTACTTGTGTACATAAACCTGTTGACTTTCACACTTTTTTCCCTTAAAGCTATACATCTCAGACAGATTCACATTATAAATACAACCCCAAATCAGAAAAAGTTGGGACAAAATGCTAATAAAAAAGAAAGCAGTGATTTCTAAATTTACTTTTTATTTAATTGCAGGCAATATGAACACAAAATATTTCATATTTGGTCTGGTCAAATATCTAACTTCATTCATTCATTCTTTTCGACTTAGTCCCTTTATTAATCCAATGAACCGCCAACTTATCCAGCATATGTTTTATGCAGCGGATGCCCTTCCAGCTGCAACCCATCTATGGGAAACATCCATACACACTCATACACTACGGACAATTTAGCCTGCCCAATTCACATTTCAAAAAAAGTTGGGACAGGAGCAACTTAGGGCTAGTAATCGGATAAATTGCTTAAGTAATCAGTAATCTGATTTCAACAGGTGATGTCAACAGGTGATTGTAATTATCATTTAGTACAAAAGCAGCATCCAAGAAAGGTCTAGTTCTTTTGATGTTCCGAGAAATGTCAGTTTGCCAACAAGACATTTGGATATTTCACCTTCAACAGTGCATAACATAATCTACAGAAGTACTGTTGCCCACCTTAAGACTTGTTTGCAGGAGTATTGAGACAAAATGACACCTAAAACACTTTCTCACTTAATGTCTTCAGTCCCTAACCATCTTTTAAGTGTTGTGAAAATGACCCTTCATTTCCCAACATTACAAAGTGGTAAATGCTTTACGGTTGCAGCTTTTTTAAGATGCGTTGCAAGAACCAAAATTGTAGTACGTGTTTATTTTGGGAAAAAAAAAATCATGAGGAACACATTTAATAATGTTTGTTGCATTGTCTGTAATGAAATACAAGTCAAAGTAAATTTAAAAATCACTCCTTTTTTTTTTTTTTTTTTTTTTCATAGTCTCCCAACTTTTTCGGATTTGCGGTTGCATTATTACTATATTATTAAATGTTAATATTTATAAATGTTTCAAATTCTAACTTGTGTTATGTGGAATGAGTCTTTGCTGATTCATTTAAACTAACATTATGCAGACTAAAACATCCAAGCACCTTATCTGGACCCTGTCTACTTCCACAAAGGGAGCCATCAGCTGCACTACAATTACTTTATTTATAAACTCCCATCTGGTTAAAACTGGACTAGTCAGAGACACGGATTAGACAGGACACACTCACACACAACACGCGTATTTTGTGGGCATTATTGCAACAGCCTCAGTTCTACAAAAAAATACACAAATTTCCCAATTTAGCTGGCCACTTCTTTTTTCCCCTCTTTTTTATGCAACTCCAAACTGGTAATTTACTTATAACCAGTATGCTCATAAACATCCATAAATAAAGTAACAAAACAAGATCATAAGAGCAGTGTGCCAAAGAAATGGGTTTCTAAAAATCCCATTTTCTTTACAAAATGGAATGATGAACTACATCAGACTATATTTAGCAGACGGCGATGACAGAATTCATACATCTCAAACAATGATTTTGAAAGAAACTGCAAGAGCGGCTAGAGGTTGTGTAAGCTCTCATCGACTCCAGACCGTTCGTCAGCTTTGAAGATGTGATTTATGGGCTGCTGGTGGCCAAATCTAAACTCACAGATCACCATGTCTTTGATGATTTTTCAAGTGTCCACATTCATCACTTCAGCCTGAGAAACCAGTAGCCATGTCCACATTGATCTGGATTTGATCTCGAAACAGCCTGACCTTAATCAGCAAAGAGTCACTGAAGGAAATAAGTGTCAGCAAACCTTTGCTGGTGAGAAAACTCATTTAGACGTGCCATCTACACAAGGTCTTTTACTAGCCACGCTGTTTAATAATGTACATAGAGCAACAAGTAAAACTAATTAGTAACATCTCTGAATGTTTTTTCAGTCTAAAGGTTTATAACTATGGATTTGGAATCACTGTTAGAAGTACACTTTCCAGCTGATTATTACGAAAACACTGACAGCCAATCAAATTTACTTTTAAGAACTAATTCATTTACAATAAGAGACAACAAAATGACAGCAATATCAACTGTTCTGCACTATTAGAAGTGTTGTTATAGGTCATTCATTTGTTCAGTTCAGTCCCTTTATTCATAAGAGGTTGCCATCTTATCCAGCAATGAACCGCCAACTTTTCCAACATGTTTCACACAGCAGATTCTTTTCCAGCTGCAAACCAGTACTGGGAAACATCCATACACACTTATTCACACACATACAATATGGCCAATTTAGTTTATTCAATTCACCTATAGCGCATGTCTTTGAACTGTGTGGGTAACCGGAGCACCCTGAGGAAACCCACGTAACCACGGGGAGAACATGCAAACTCCATGCAGAAATGCCAACTAACCCAGCCAGGAATCGAAATAGTGACCTTCTTGCTGCGAGGCAACAGTGTTAACTACTGAGTCAAGGTGTAGCCTGATTGTTGTTATAGGTATTTTATATTAAAAGAATTATCTGTTATGAAATGTAAAAAATAAAGAAAGAAAGAATATGTAGATATGTAATTTTTATACAGCAGTTTTGATAGGAAATACAAAGTTCAGTGTTCAGGACATTTCTGGCTGAATATCTAAACACAGAGACATACAGATGAATGTAATAGGTTTAAAAATACAACTTGCAAGCTTGGAAATATTCCTTATTAAATGTATTGTGCTGCTCTTCAGTGTGACTACCTACTTATATTGCACTACTGTAACAAATACTTATTATGGGACTGAACATGACATTCATCATATATATATATATATATATATATATATATATATATATATATATATATATATATATATATATATATATATATATATATATATATTATATATATATATATTATATAATGTAATCTGATACCCCCTTTAGCATTCTACTGTGTACTGCATGTATTCTGGCTTTTAATCTCGCAAACCTGTACGAAATTATTATTTTGCAACTTAAGTAGTAAAATGGTATTTGTAGTAAAATGGTATTTGTAAACGACAGCATAAAAAAAGAGGAAATAATCCGTATTCAGAAAGTGTACGTTTACATAAAGACAGACAAAACACATCTGTTAAATATAAGATTCCCCATTAGGTGGCCTCGTTGACTTGATTTAGGCTGTGACATCTGACAGTCTGACCCAAAATGCGAGTTCTTTGATTTATTTCATTTCAGGTAGGTATCTTTATATTTTCAGTTCGGTTAACATTGGAATGAACATCTGCATAATGAATTACAACGCAATTCATCTATATAGTAGCCTATATACTGGCGAAAAAAATATATATAGTTGGATAAAAAATATATATATATATAAATCTATAACCCCACTAATCAAACGTCGACGAGTCATCAACAGCCTGAAATTAAAATGAACATTTAATGATGAACGGACCATCAATTGTTCAAGTTTGATAGATAGTCGTAACGTAAGAACGCATCGCGCACTGAGCTTCACCGTGACTCACAATGTTAATTTTTTTAAGCACACTCTCTAAATCTGGACGACCTACTGTTAGAGTAATTTCTCAAGCCCCTCGGGCTCGGACACGACACATCTCGGTGTGAACTGTGTTTGTCATGTCACTCTTTGTGGATCTCACCAGCTTCGCCACGCGCGCGCAGCTTGCAAACGACGCGCATTCGTCGCGTGGAGCTCATGCTGCTCGGGCATCCTAAAGGAATAACACCTTACACTCGACAGGATGAAGGTACGCTGGGCATTCATCGAGAACGAACACGAAACAAGTTTTTTGTTTCGTTTATTTATATGAATCATTCCTTACGGGCAAGATGGTTCAAAGAGCAAACTGTGTAACATATTTCGGAAAAACGCTTCTTTACGCACAAAAGAAGCTCTTCGGTGTCATCTAACAGGTGAGATTAACCTTTTATGATCGTTTGGTACACAAAATATAGTAGTTTTACACTGCATGTTTTTTCTTTTAATATCACTTTTGTCTCTTTTTTAATAGAAATGGAGGAAAAGGCTTACTGGAATCTGAAACATGTCTCAGTCCTTTATATCCTAAGGACTCATGACACCCCCGAATATATAAGAGAACACTGAACTGGTGAGTAAAAAACTGCCTTCAGAGTGATAACTTAAACTTATCAGAATTATTTCCATGGATGTAGGATCACTGGTATGCTGCTAAGATATCCTAACGTTTCTCTGATCAACTGAACTGTATCTAACAGGACATTATTTGTGCTGGAATAAATAAACTGGAATGCTGGACATTTTTGTGCAATGGGACATGAACTGGAAATATGAATTTTGGCTTGAAAAATTTAATCAATGCTACCTGAGGTGTGACTGGTCTTAAAGATGACGTGATTGAACACTTCATGAATTGTTTTTACAATGTAATCAGATTCTAAAAATCAGGACAAAATGGCAGTAAAGGATTTGAATGTGACAACAGTCATTGACAGTGGTTTCATGGAAAGTGACCAGTCAACGCGGGTTCTGACCGGTTGCTTTCTTTCTCTTCTAATCCTCTCCACCCTGCTCGGGAACACACTGGTTTGTGCAGCTGTCACAAAGTTCCGGCACCTGCGCTCTAAAGTCACAAACTTTTTTGTCATCTCGCTGGCGGTGTCAGACCTGCTGGTGGCCATTCTTGTCATGCCCTGGAAAGCTGTGACAGAGGTAGCCGGCTTCTGGCCCTTTGGCGCATTCTGTGACATTTGGGTCGCATTTGATATCATGTGCTCCACGGCTTCTATCCTGAACCTCTGTGTTATCAGCGTGGACCGATACTGGGCCATTTCCAGCCCCTTCCGCTATGAGAGGAAGATGACTCCCAGGGTGGCTTTTGTGATGATCAGCGTAGCTTGGACTCTGTCTGTGCTCATCTCCTTCATCCCAGTGCAGCTCAAATGGCACAAAGCACAGCCAACGAGCTTCCCAGAGGCCAATGCTTCTCACAGAGCTCTGCTGACGGACAACTGTGACTCCAGCCTCAACCGAACATATGCCATTTCCTCTTCGCTCATCAGCTTCTACATTCCTGTCGCCATCATGATTGTAACATACACCCAGATTTACAGAATCGCCCAGAAGCAGATACGACGGATCTCGGCTCTGGAAAGGGCTGCAGAGAGCGCCAAGATCCGCCATGATAGCATGGGCAGCAGCTCAAATGTGGACTCGGAAAGCTCCTTCAAGTTGTCATTCAAAAGGGAGACAAAAGTCTTAAAAACCTTGTCTGTTATAATGGGTGTTTTTGTGTGCTGCTGGTTGCCCTTTTTCATCCTGAACTGCATGGTGCCGTTTTGTAAGAGAACTTCAGTCGGTCTCCCCTGCATCAGTCCAACAACTTTTGATGTTTTTGTCTGGTTTGGATGGGCTAACTCTTCTCTCAATCCTATAATATACGCCTTCAATGCCGACTTTCGCCGAGCTTTTGCCATCCTTTTGGGATGCCAGAGACTCTGTCCAGGAAGCAATAGCATGGAGACACCAAGCCTAAACAAGAACTGAAAAGCAGCCCTCATGTCACACCAATCCTTTGCCAACGAAGGCTGTTGGAAAATGACGGAAATGGATTTGGGATTAAGACTCTGGGAAGAGAGCCCTCCTGCTGTGCTGGAGAGCAAGGGAAACTGTTGCGACGTCCCTAAAGCGAGCTTATCTCTGCAAAAAGCTGTATTTCCCCAAAGAATGAAGCAAAGGTGGTCTGTGTGTTCCCGGTGTCTATTTCAGACAAAGCTACTCAACAGATCATTAAATCCACAAGTGACTTGCTGAAATGAGAGAAGTGATGTTTTATAAACAGAAATGTTTCTTTGCACTTTATTTTACAGTACCAAACGGGTACTTAGTGTACAGGTTTATAAACGATATGAGCTAAAAGTATAGTTTACTCATTTACTCATTCAACTTCAGGGTAAGTTGCATTTTCTGCTAAACACATGAAGAATTTTAGTGACTAAAAAGACTTCCATGTTAGGGAAAAATATATACTATATAAGTTATTACACAATTATGATAAGTACATAGTATGTACATGCAAAACAGGACCGTAAAATAAAGTGCTACCAATGTTTCTTTTCAAAGATCAATTTAGATCATATTTTCATTTTGAAGAAACTGGGCAAAACTGCAATACATTGGAACAAATGTTGTAACAACAGAATTTGTTCATAAAGCTATCATTCCATTATTTATCACTGAAAAAAATGACCATCAGTAGGGCTGTGCGAAATGAAACGTTGCGATTAGCTTATCACAAGAGGCGGCGATGTGAAATATTTATGTATTATTTAATTTCCCCCAACCAGAGCAAATGCGAAACTGCCAGCTGTGTGCGATATTCTTACTAGCCAACTGAGTGAGTATACTTCTGTTTTGCCCAATCACAACCTAACATTGTGTGGAATCGTGTGAATGGCATCATGTGGAATGGCCAAAATAAAAATACAAACAGACAAGAAAGCGCGAACAAATGGGATGATGGCGTCTGCCGCTTCAGACTAATTAATATCAAAGAAAAACAGGACATCGGTAATATGGGAATATTTTGGTTTCAAAGTCAGAGACACCAAACAAAAACAGGTAATTTGTAAGAGCTGTTGCAGAATTATAGGTTGTACGTTGGGCATTGACGTCGGCCTGATGTTGGGTACTGACGTCAACTCGATTTTCATTTCCAAACAAAATCCAGCATCCCCTTGATGTTGGGGTATAACTTCAATAAGATGTCATCTTGACGTTCTGTGCGTGCAGGATAGTAGCAAGCAACAGCAAAGTACAATTTCAGAGTTGTTTCAGCCATGTCAGTTTGCTGAATGTTCTGTATTTTTATGATTATTGTTTGTTTTTATAATAAACTATCTCCCTCATTTGAGTTCAACTTGTTTACAGAAAGGTAAAGTCATTTTATTTGTTTACTGCTTGCTCTAGAGAAAAATGAGTGTTTTATTTCTGAATATTTAATAACAAAATTTGTAAGTTAATATCTTTTAGTTTCTTTTTTTACCTAACACATTGCATTTTAGCAGTAAGAAGCTACGATACAGAATATTGAGCTGAAGCTTGACTTCAAAATAAATCGCAAATTAAATCAAAATCACAATATCTGTCAAAAAAAAAAATCACAATCAGATATTTTCCCCAAATCGCACAGCCCTAACCATCAGTTATTTTCAATAAAATTCAGTGTAATCCGAATCCGAATACATCACTGCTTGATAAATATCTATCTCATCCTCTCCACTCTCATTACATTACCTTTACGTCTTGCCTTATTCATGAGACTTCACTTTTTTTCCAAAACAAAAGGGCAGATGGTCAATCATGAGATGGCCATGCCATTATTGCCATAATGAACATGTATATTGTTCTGTGGTACTTGTTCTCTTCAGAGCCTCTGATTCATTATTAAACTGTGAAAGCTAAACACTACGACTAGCAGAACAGATGGCCATAAAATAAAAATGCAGATGTGGCAGTGCGCTCAGTTACGGTTATCAAGTAATAGATACGTTATTGTTGAGATTGTAATTATGTTCTGAAAGCGTATGGGATCCTCTGTCCCGGTACAAAATAACACTGGATTGTTATTATGTCAGTGGATGTGATGCAATGTGCCATGTGATAATGTAGAAAATGAAACGTGGAGAACCTCAGAACAGTCTGCGGCAAACTGAATGTAATTAATCGTGATGAGTCTAATTATGTGGTCTAATTTTGTGCCGGAGATGTTTTCATGCTTTCACAACACGTCATTTGGTGCTGTCAGTTGTATTTTGCAGTACTGTGTGTGTGTTGTGGTGTTTAGAGAAAGACGATGATTCAGTGATATAGCATTACAGATGTTGATGTAGAGTGATATTTAACAACATACTGTATGTAAAGCAACCATTTGGTCAATTAAAATTTGCCCATTCTTTCTTCGCGACCATTGTGTTTGTAAACTATGCAAGGCATGATCTGCTTTATTTCTAGAAAATTTGTACAAATGCATTTTTAATTCCACAGCACTCAAGCGCTTATTTTCTACTTAATGAAACTTGAATAGGAAGCAATAACAGACAGCAGGAACTGTGGCTCTCAACCTCTTAAACTTTCATTTGTTACCGTCAAGCTGTCTTGACGCTGCGCAAAGCTGGCATAAATAGAGATAATAAGCTCAGGCCCGGCTCAGAGGACTAGGAGAGTCAAATTGTTTTTGTTTGCCAGCCTCCGTGAATGTGTAAGAGTCAAGCTCTCACAGCGGGGCCCTCAAAGCTGACATTCCCACTCAACCTCAAATACACCGCTTTCATATTAGACACAATAGGAAACATATTGGATGAGTTATTAAACAGTAGACGCTGTGCTCCAGATCCAGAAACAGCAGTACATGAGTCATGACTGTCATTTACTGATACACACTACGTTTTGTTTGGTCTACGTCAGCCGACAGGAAACAGTGGGGCCACTGTGTAATTAGCGTAATGAAGAGCATTAGCATTGTATAGCATACTTATGCATACTTAATGGACAGCTACCATAGGTGTGTATATTAAATTTGCTATTGAAATAAAGTCACACGCTGATGTTGAACTAATAACATAATCTCTGATTCTGTTGTAGTGTAAACCCTAAATCTCTGGAAACGATTTCTTCTTAATCCAACTTTAAAGTTTAGCTTTATCTATGATTCAGGTACATGAATGAATGAATGAATCTATCTATCTATCTATCTATCTATCTATCTATCTATCTATCTATCTATCTATCTATCTATCTATCTATCTATCTATCTATCTGTCTGTCTGTCTGTCTGTCTGTCTGTCTGTCTGTCTGTCTGTCTGTCTGTCTGTCTGTCTGTCTGTCTGTCTGTCTGTCTGTCTGTCTGTCTGTCTGTCTGTCTGTCTGTCTATCTGTCTGTCGATCTATACAGTATATATATATATTTTGGCTCTTTAGAATTATAAGGTTCTATCTGACATGTTTGTCAAAATTGATACTCACATACGTTTTGCTATGCAATGCAAAATTTTTTAATCATTCGAAATGCAGATAGAATTCCAAGGTGAAGATTTATATATATGTGACGATATATATGTGTGTGTGTGTGTGTGTGTGTGTGTGTGTGTGTGTGTGTGTGTGTGTGTGTGTGTGTGTGTGTGTGTGATGCATTTAGTTACATCTACTGTTATTGTCCAATTAGTTTTTCTCAGTCACTTTGGTGCATTTCTCACAACGCTATTTACATTTGCACAACAGTTAATGCATTTCTCATTCCTTCCAACAAATTGCAGATGCTTTTGGACATGCATCAATTGCTTTCATACAACTCTCTGCTATTTATAACATTATCATTGGCTTATGTTATGTCAGTTAAAATTAACTAAACTTGTGAATGCTGAATAGTCAATCCATATAAAACGAATAGTTCTCATTTCATTACTATACAGTCATTACATACAAATATGTTGTCATACAAAACTAGTTGTCAAAACCTGTGAAGCTAATTTTATTTTTAAAAATGTAATCTTTTTTTTTTTTAGAAAATGTTTTCCAAACTGAACAACTTCATGAATGAATTACAGACCTATGTATGTTGTAGGTTCAGTTCCAAAATGTACTGCAATATTGTTTACAGCTGTGGCCAGCTCTTTATGTTTGTTGTAAATAAGGGTGTGTTTATTCTTTATTATTATGCTGTGAATAAATTAGAATTGCAAAGAGCAAATGCAGTAAAAATGTGAAACATACATGTTTCATGTGTTGTACTCAGATACCTGACTAAATGCAGTGATGTCCAACTTTACTGTAGTTTTCAAATGGCTGTGCAAATAGTATATAGTGCTGTCTTGAGCATTTTCAGGAAGTGTCACCAAAATCTGACTTTTTTTGCATTGGAAACAATGTACTGAGTAAACTGTCATAATGAAAACATGACAAAGCCATCTGACTATCTTATTCATAAACAATTGTGTCAGGACTTTTCATCTTTATGACACTGAAACTTTCACTGACATCAATACTCGCTTTTGAGGAATGAGCTCTCCATTTTGAGCAAGTAATGCTTTTGCAGGTTATCTACTAGGTTTTGCAGTTTGTACTAATTGTTTTTAGAAATGCATTAACTGTTGTGCAAATGTAAATAGAGTTGTGAGAAATGCACCAAAGCCACTGAGAAAAACTATAGACTGTATAAGTTGAGAAGATATTTTGAAGAATGTTAGTAACCAACAGTTGTCAGACACACACACAGTGCCAGCATTAGTGATAGAAAGCACTAAGGAAATTAAGTCAGTTGTGGTGTTATAAAGTATAGTTACGGCAAGATAAAATTAATGACTTCTAAAAAGTAGGTCAAAACAAACAAAACAAATTTTTGAATTGTATTGCATATCAAATAATTGCAGAATCAGTGTATCAACCACAGAATAATATGAAAAACATCTTGTAAACCATGTCACATGACATTACATTAAGCTCAGTAAAGCCACTCAGTATCCAAAACTCATTAGTTAGAAGGGAAAACATAATATAGATGAGTGATCTGCTGAGTAAATGCACTAGTTTACAAACAACAAACACATTCACACGCACACACATCCATCCATCCATAGTGAATGTTCACCCTGTATTACACAGAAAAATGCCTATGCCTGAAAGCCTAACGCTTGATTTCAAACAACCTTCAAAACATCTTTATGTGAGAGAAATAAAGAAAATTAAATACAAACAAGCTGAAAGTGAGCTAATGATGACCGATTCTTCCTAGTTAGTCAACTATCCCTTTAACTTTTTGAAGGTAACTTTTTTAAGAGTAAAGGTTAACATTGTTTTCAGTATAAATGGTAATATATGTAGCTCAACATTTAAAAAAAATTACATTGACTACATCTGAAACAAATGATCAAAGCCATGGTCTGAAAATAAAAGCAGAATGGCGTAAGTCTCTTTCTTAGACTTAAATAATTATATATTTTTAAGTTTGCTTATGTAAAAAGATTCCCTATAGAGACAATAGTGCTGTGCAATCAACATGAACATTATAGAAACACATAGTTCACTGTTGTTTTGTTGTTTGTCAAGAACTCGCACATGTCTATATACTTAACACATTATATGTCATGTATGTGCATGCTCATTGCTTTTACAATATTTACAGGGATTTTAATTGTAACACTTTTTCACATAAACTGCATTTTTTTTAAATGTCTGACAGATGGCAACATAGCCAAAAGGAGGTCTATTTTTTTAAAGAAAAACAAACCCCACATACCTGCATTTTGCATATCAACCTAATAGCTGGCTATGTCACTTTGTGTGCTCCATAGACTGATCACATATGTAATAACATATTTATGTCTTAGTTTCAACTGTTTTCAAACATTTGTTAATTCATTCGTTTTCTTTTTTGGCTAAGTTCCTTTATTTATCTGGGGTCGCCACAGCGGAATGAACCGCTGACTTATCCAGAATATGTTTTACACAGCGGATGCCCTTCCAGCTGCAACCCAGGAGATATCCATAAACACACATACACTACAGCCAATTTGGCTAATTCAATCAACCAATAGCACATGTTTTTGGACTGTAGGAAACCCACGCGAACACGGGGAGAACATGCAAACTTAGAAATGCCAACTGACCCAGACGGTGCTCGAACCAGGGACCTTTTTTGCTGTGAGGCGACAGTGCGAAGCACTGAGCCACCATGTCGTCAGTTTTTAAACAGATTATACTTTTTTTTTTTCAAATGTTTGCATTTTCAGGCACCCAAAAATGTAAATAATGTGAAAAAGAATGTCTGAATAGCTTAAAATGTT